GGGCTTACGGGATTAGGGTTTACGGGATTCGGGTTTAGGGTTTAGGGCTTTATGGCTTTTTTTGGTGTTCAGGCTCCAGCTCCGGACCACCCTAAAGCCCGAATATAGGGGGCTTATAGTGATCAGAGTAGGGCTGTTAAGATGTTAAGGGCTACACTCTCGTATAAGTATAGAGGGACCATAAGGGAAGGTAATTCCTCCTAACCCTAAACCCTCAACACTCAACCCTAAACCCTAAACTCTAAACCCTACCCCTTTAGTAAACCCTTACGTACGGAGGGTTTAGGGGCGGGGGGGGGGGGGGGGGGTTACGATACTAGGGAGTATGTCATGGGGGTCCGTACTATGCGGGGATCCTACTATTGGGCAGACCATATTGGGGGGTAAACCCCCGTATGGCATGGGGGGGGGTTCTAGGCTTTAGTGAATAGGGTTCAGGGATCAGGGTTCAGGATTTTTAGGCTACTTTGGGAAATAGAAGTTAGGGATTTAGGGGGTGATGGCGGCCAGAACCCTAAAAGTTCTCAATCCCTGAGCCCTCGACTGCCCCGAAGTAACCCTGCAGACACACACACACACACAGAGAATCAAACACCCAACGCCTGACTCCTGCAACCAACAGCTCCGACTTCTAAGCCTATGCCAGTAACCTCACAGGCTGAAACCCTGCAAGTCCCTGATTGGGGTTTCGGGTTCAGGGCTGCCGTATCGGTGTCCTTCGCCCGCTTGGAGGCTCTTCTACCTGCAGGTTTGGAGGTTTCAGTGTGTTTAGGCCCTGCTGTTCTCCAGAGCCTTGCAACAAACTTGTCTACTTACATGTCGCTTATTCATATGGACCCTAAAGTGGGGAACCCTTATATAACCTATACACTATACCCCTCATACTCCAATAGACCTAAGTGCCCATACTTAAGAACCCTTTCAAGAAGGTAAGGGGTTGGATTCAGAGACCACGTAACTTCGCCTCCTGAGAACTTAGAGGGGCTTTCAACACATGAGGTTTGTGGATTCGGGTTCATAGGCTGGGTTGGTTTACGGTACCCTGGGTTTAGGGTTTAGGGTTTAGGGTTAATAATTTAGGGTTTAGGGTTTAGGGTTTAGGGTTTAGGGTCACCGTCTGCCGAGCACACAGCATGCCTTGGTTCCCCCTTATACTAGCAGTCCCTCATGGCTTGTATTGGGGGGGGGGGGGGGGGGGGGGGGTACTATGATCCCTATTGAGGACTCTTAGTACAAGGGGGAACATACCATGCCTTAGCTGGGCAGTCCTATACATTCGGGATCCTGGTGCGGTCCTTATAACCCTAAACCCTAAACCCTAAACCCTAAACCCTAAATCCTAAACCCTAAAGTTGAGTTACCTGGGACCTTACGAGAGACCCAAAGAAGTACCCCAGGTGCTCAAAGTGAGAGTAGGCCAAAGGGCCAAAAGGCACCACAGTAAGGCATGCGGCAGGTTTGGGGTTTAGGGTTTAGGGTTTAGGGTTTAGGGTTTAGGGTTAGGGTTTAATTAGGGTTTGGGGTTTGGGGTTTCGGGTCTGGTGTTCAGGGGCGGGCTTTGGGTAAAACCATGTATCTTGAACCCAAAACTATGTTCATACCCACCGCATTCCCGTGGCGCCTCGAAGATGCAGCGGCTCGACCGCAGGCACGGGGACATCGCTGTGGCCGCAGTGGTGTGTGTGACTTGCGGCTTGCTCGGTGTCTCTGCATGTCTACTATTTGCTTTAACAAAAGCCCCAACATAGAAGAACATAATCACTTCATTTCTAATACCCTTATAAGGAAGTTTGGATTTTTTGGGGGGGTTTCAACAATTAGTAGACGGTTTGTGTTGAGGTCCATCGCATCAAAACCGCCCGGAACATAGTTTCACATCCGGCCTAAAGCCCTGTTGAAACAGTGCGTCTCCCTGAACTGTCGATGTCTGAGACGTATACTTGGAGGTTCATGGTACGTACTTATCCGCCCCCCCCCCCCCCCCCCCCCCCCCCCCCCCCCCCCCCCCCCCCCCCCCCAAACCTGTCCCCACTAGCTCTGAAGCGAAAGCAAAGCCACCTTGAATTGAAGATGTACCAATGTTTCCATAGGGGTGACCGTCGCGTCGGGAAAACGAATCGGAAACGTGCGGGACCAAGTCAGAAAACCGGGAGGACCGAGTCAGAAAGCGGAAAGGCGTGAGTCAGAAAACCGAGCACACACGAGTCAGAAAGCCAGGGACTGAGTCGGAAAACCACCCAATGCACAGAAAGGTTAACCTCTGCAACGACACGTTAAGAGATTTATTTGTAAAGCTGTCGTAGAAGACTAGACGTGTATATTGTTTAGAGATGTGAACGGAGATGTTAAAGGTCGAGAATGAACATGCGGGCGATAGACCCCTATCGTTTTCAGATAGGCCGGACGTCTCGAGGTTCCTGACCAAGAGCCTTTGTTGCATAGCGTTTCGTGTAAGATGTAGACGTGAACACGTCATTCAAGTAAGCTTTAGTCTGCTTCGAACACATCATGCGAGTGTTGAGTTTGCTAATGGGAGGGGGGCTGCCCCATTGAACCCTAACCAAAAACCCTAAACCCCAAACCGTGAACCCTAAGCCCGCAACCCTAAACTAACCCGGAACCCTAAACCCCGAACCATAAACCATAAACCCGGAACCCTAAACCCTAAAACCAACTCTTATTGCTTGGGGTCCAGCGACTTGAGCGCTGCAGAATCACCATGCTCACGCGGATGCGCTGGGCCGGGCCGAGGCGGGTCGCGTAGCGTTAAAATTAACCAATTATGACTGTACTCATAAATGTACTTGTAGCCATATTAGGGCACTTAAGGATATTGTAAGCGCGTCAGAAGTACAGTTATAATCGGGAAATAAGCACGAGAGCCACCTAATTTAGGAATAAAAATTGTGCCCTTTCTGGTTTGAAGGGGATAATTAGAAGGGAACCTAAACCCTGACAAAGGGAATAAGGGCTTACCCTGAGTCTTAGTCAGAGGACCTGCTGTGGAACAACTGCCAGCTTCTGAAGCACCAAGCCCTTTGGCCGGAGAGGCGGATGAGAAAAACCACAGGCCTTGAGGGGGTTCAGGATTCAGGGTTTAGGGAATATGGGCTTTATAGAGCTTAATCATGTTTCGAGAGTATGGTCTGGTGGCGAATCTGAAGCCGAAACCTGTTCACTCAAAGCTGTCATGGCGAAGGTTGGGGTCTACTCCTAGTTGTCCAGTGATTTCGCGGAATTAAAGGTTCACCCTTGGGATTATAAGGGGATTAGACTACCCCAGAAAGGTTAAAGGCTATCTACTCTACTACTAGGTTAGGGTTTAGGGTTTAGGGTTTAGGGTTTAGGGTTTAGGGTTTAGGGTTTAGGTTTTAGGGTTTAGGGTTCAGGGTTTAGGGTTTAGGGTTTAGGGTTTAGGGTTTAGGGTTTGGGAAATCGCGCAAGCCGAGCAAGCCTAGGCGTGCTTTCCCTTGCGTGCACTGTAGCTTGGGCGAAGTTCGAGGGTAGTATGATACTTACTTGAACAGCATGCAACCGATTGGGCTAGTTGAGGCCGTGGCAGGGCAAGGTCATCTCCCCTAAACCCGAAACCCGAAACCCTAAACCCTAAACCCGAAACCCCAGGAACCCATAGTGCCTTTTCCTCGAGCGCCCGTGTTGTGACGCAGTGCTGCAAACCGCACCTGGTCTCTTGCAGCAGCAGCATCGCGCGTCTGCTGCGAATGGCCATGCAGGATCCGCGCAGTTGTGTCCGAGCTGCTTGATGCACCCAGATGGTGGTTTCCGAAATCTCGTTCCTGGTTGGTTTTGATATTAAACACTTAAGTTGTTATTCCTTATTGGGTTTAAGTACCCTTACAAATGTAAAATGGTACCCAACTATGACAAAGAATTAGGGTACCTTGAATTCCTTATTGTAAGGGAATCCTGCTATTTTGGGGGACTTGATTAGGGGTCCCCTATTTTCTAAACCCCCAAATGGCTCTCGACGCTACCCTGGTGACTCCCTTCATATCATGACCCGAAAACGGGGGGTATCCTTCTTCAGACGGGGCTTATTGGAATGTAACTTTGAACCATAAAACCTAACACCACAGAGAGAAAGGGGGGCAAACCCTAAACCCCAAAGCAGACTGCAACCTCCCTCTCAAAGCTATCGACTCCCTAAACCCGCAGATTTGGAAGCTGTGCACCTATGTTTGGGCTATGTAGGTGGGGCTCTCTAAGCTACAGAAAAATGAGATACGAGGCCCTTCCGGGGGTTTCCCTAAACCCTAAACCCTAAACCCTAGCATCCCTTACCACCGAGACCCAAAAACCCTAAAATCCAAACAACAACTGGCAGATGTAAGCATGGCCAGGGACCGGTGGCTGGGTTCGATCGTCCTGCCCTTGAACGTCTTCTCTCTAAGCTCGCGCCCACAAGGACATGCTTAAAGTGGGCTGTTGCAGGCAACAGGCGCTTCTAGGGTTTAGGGTTTAGGGTTTGGGGTTTAGGGTTTAGGGTCCCTACACCTTGCTTGCTTCGGCCTTCGATTCCTACGGCCACTTGTGGCGTTGATTTCGGCATGGCTGTAGACTTACACTTCGAGGTTCAAGGTTTGCGTGAGGACTGAAGGAAGTTCATGGGGTTCAGCTTCTGCATAGTTCAAGGAAGTCGACCGAGACGATCCAGACGTGCAGGCGTGGCGCGCATCTGTGGCTAGGATGCTCGGCAGAAGCTAGTCTTTCAGCTTCTCTCTCGAAGGGCTTTCGATAGAACGCCGCCTACGATGATGCAAGCTTTTACCTGGATGCTAGGCTTGGCGTCCTTGCAATCGCTGCGCCTCAAACCGCCCCCTCACAAACCCGAAACCCGAAACCCTACACCCTAAGCCCCGGTTCTTAAGCTTAGCTCATCATTGTCCTCAACTGCAAACCCCCCAATCCGCACCTCAAGCTCCACCTACATACTTAGGGTTTCGGGTTTAGGGTTTAGGGTTGACCGCAGAACCCAATCCTTAGAGGCCCTTCGAGGTACCTCGCCCCTTCAGCTTTGATCGGATGAGGTCCACCGTCCACTTCATGTTCATGAAGATGAAGACCAACTGCAGAGTTTAGGGTTTAGGGTTTAGGGTTTAGGGTTTAGGGTTCAGGGTTTAGGGTGTAGGGTTTAGGGAGGAGGGCTTCCAGTGCTGTGGTGTCTGGGGTTTAGGGCTTGGGGTGCAGCGGGGGGAGGGGGTGGACGAATGTGCGCAGGAGGTAGGCTTGGAGGGCTTAGGGGTTCTCCTCTTACAAGGCTCTACTGCGTGGAGGCTGGGATTCAGGGCCTTGGGAGGTGGGGTCGGGTCGGGGTGTCGGGTTTCGGGGTTGGCGTTAGGACCAAGCCCCGGTTCGCAGGCCTGCATCAGCGGCGTCACTGCGATGATGTTCAGCGGGGTGCCGACTCGCTCTGACTCCTTCATCCACTCCTGCGAAAAACTCAAAGGGTATTGCGCCTGGCCGTCTAGGCCTCACTCAACCAGAGGAGGAAGGAAAGAGTAATACCGTCAGTGCACGAGCCGGCTACTGGTTCAACCGAAACAACACCCCACACACAAAAACCCTAAGCCTTGGTAGCCCAGTAACCATATTGTTGGAAGGGGCACTCTTTTTTCGGGTTGGCGACTGTATAAGGGAACCTTGAACCAAAAAAGCATAAGGGTACCCAGTGGGTTACCAAGAAGCACTAACTACTAGACACTAGACTAGACCCTATTCCCTAAACCCTATAAAGCTAACGTTGAAGGAGTGTGGTATGGCGCCTGCTGTTCATGGCAGTGCAAAGCAAAAAACACCGTCGAGCCGAGCCCGCCCCCAAAAAAAACCTAAAGCGTGGAGTGTTCAGGGTTTAGGGTTCCGGGCGAACGTATCTGCCGACTCCCTTTCTTAGTGTCAACACCTCATGCAAAGCCTGAGCTTCATCGGCCCCAGCAAGGATTCGGGCGCAGCCCCCAAATCCCCAAAAGCCCGTCAGCCCTAGCAGCATGAGCCCTTCAACCCCAAACCCTATCAACGCTATAATTTGGGATGTTCCCCCTTATACTAAGTCCATAATATGGATTGTGGTACCCCAGATTCTAATCCCTATTGAGGACTGCTAGCAATTGTTAGTATAAAGGGGGAACATATAAGGGGGAACATCACAAGCTATCAACCCTATAAGGCCTACAAACCCACGAACCCCCGAATCCCAAAGCCCTAAACCCTAAAACTTCCCCGGATACCTGCAACTCGGCACAAAGTCTCCCTAGACCTTACATCCTTCAGACTGTACAGCTGCGGAAGGCAGCAAAGGCCGAAACCCTCAAACCCTATAAGCTCTTAGAAGCTTAGGGTATTTAGGGTTTAGGGTTTAGGGTTTAGGCCTTTAGGGTTTAAACCCTACACCCGCAACCCTACCCTAAGCTGTTGGGTTCTTGGGTCGAAAGACCCCAAACAGCCCTGTCGTCGGAAGATCTGTTACAAGGTACGAAAAGCAGGAGTCGACAAGGCTTGGGGTTACGGGGGGTTGGGTTGGGGGCTGAGGGTTTGAGGTTTGGGGTTTTGGGGTTAAAGTTTTGGGGTCTGAGGGTTTGGAGGTTATACCCAGGTTAGATATGGGTCTTTCCCAACATAGGGGTGCCCAAATAGAATGGAAGCCCCTTAAAGGGACCCCCAAAAAGGGTACCCCTATTGAAACCCCCATATGAGAATATAGGGCTTAGGAACCCTAAACCCTGAACCCTGAACCCTAAACCCTAAAGCCCTAAACCCTAAACCCCGCTCGCAAGGCTGTGCCGCCGCACACGCAGGATGACCACCAGCAAGTAGGGATAGATCACGAGACGAATCACAAACCTCACAAGGTTTGTCTAGGAGGGGTCAGGGTTTAGGGTTCAGGGTTCAGGGTTTAGGGTTTAGGGTTTAGGCGGCTGCAAAACCGCCAAGGGTAGATTGGGGAGCTGCAAGGGCATCCTCAGAATCAAAGTTGGGCCTGTGCCCAGAATCTGGGGTGTCTCCACATGCCTGCAAGATATCCAAGGCCCTTTAAACCCTAAACCCCAACCTTCAATAGACTCGCCGGAAGTGGCTAAGAGCCCATAAAATGGGGAGCCCGGTACTTTTCAACTTAAGATCTCTTCGGGGCCAAAAGGCGGAAAGGCGGGGTGTACAAGGTGCCCATAGGGTTGAGGTGGACGTGTAGGGTTTCGAGCTTGAGGTCGAGGATTTACGGTAAGCAAGGTTGAGGTTTAGGGTTTCGGGTAAGCCGGTCAATTCTTTAAATCGCGGTCTTCGCCTGGTAAAGTGCCAGGAATATAAGGCAAGCATGAGGGCCATGAGTGTTCGAACAGAAACCCTACACCTTCATGCCTGCGGTCTCATGTTTTGTTGTTTTGTTTCTGCTTGGTCTGTTTCATATATGAATATGTACATATATATATATGTATGTATATACTATACGCGCCTTAGAACCTGAATAAAAATACTATGTTTAATATCCTCTTGGGTTTTTATATAAACAAAAAAATTTCCAAAGGGGGATATAGTATATGCCTACACATGTTCGTGGTTTCTACTATACACGCAAGTGGTCTCCGGTCGATATGAACATCATCCAGCACACATTGTCTTCATACTCGCTTGAGATCTTGAACTTGAGTTTAGGCTTGTTTTTCGTGTTTAGGGTTTAGGGTTAGTTCTGGTTCACTTGTTCTTGCGCACCTTGATGTTAAGCGTGTTCAAATGTGTGTAAGAAATTGAAAACCACCTTCACTGAGCACGCAGGATTTGATAGATCGGAGTGTGGGTCAGTACTATCTCCTATTAACGATATTTGTTCCAACATCAATTAGGCTGGGAACCAGTCGGTTTATCATTAGGTCGAACCAGGTGCCCGTGAACGCATCTTGAATAGAACAACCAGGGAACCCGCAGAAACGGTATGTTCATAGGGAGTGGCATGCAATACATGTACACATATGTATATATACACACACATACATGTGTGTGTGTGTGTGTGTCTGTAATACGTGTTGTCTATGCTTAAGCTTCCTGTTGCTTTTACTGGGCGGGGGGGTGGTGGAGGTTCTGGGCATGGGGGATGAGCCAAGTGTTTTAGGAGTTCAGGGACATGGGAGCGACGTTCAAAGAGTGAACTGCGTTGTCGCCCAGCACAAAAACACCAAAGCACCGTAATCCCTAAGCCCCTCCCACCCCCCCCCCACTCCCCCCACTCCCCCCAAAAAAGAAATCAAATGAAATAGAGAACACAAAAACACTGTGTAGAATCGTAACCCTACGGGCTAACGTTGGGGGAGGGGGTTGGGACCGCAAGGCCCCCGGCTACCCTGAGCTCAGTCGCCAAGTGATACCCTAAGCCCTAAGCCCTAAGCCCTAAGCCCTAAACCCTAAACCCTAAACCCTAAACGGCCCTAAACCCTAAACCTTGAACTGCCACCCTGACTGAGCTCAGTCGCCAAGTGATATAGAAGCAGCTCGAGATGGCCAAAGTCCGAATGGACCTGGCTCAAAGAAGGTGGCCCCCATGGAGGTTCAGGCTTTGGGTTTTAGGGTTTAGGGTTTAGGGTTTAGGATTTGGGGGTTTAGGGTTTAGGATTTGGGGGTTTAGGGTTTAGGATTTGGGGTTTGGGGTTTAGAATTTGGGGTTTAGGGCTTAGGGTAACCTCATCAGCAATCAGCCCACAAGCTCCGCTGGCAGCACTTCCAGCGAGAGACTCCGCCTGCAAACCTGGGCGTCCAGCTGGGGTGCTAGCAGCACTCTCTGCCGTCGGTGTAGGGTTTAGGGTTTAGGGTTTAGGGTTTAGGGTTTAGGGTTTCGGGTTTAGGGTTTAGGGTTGAGGGTTCTGAAAGAGATTCTCGTCTGGATTCGGTTTTATTTGGCTTGGGTTCCAAAGCCAAGCCGCTGAAAAACCCTAAGCCCTAAACCCCAAGCCCCGAAAACAGTGCGACGCTCGACTTGGGCCGGAACATCCGGTCTCCACGCTTGTTCAACGCTCGCCTGGCGATGAGGAACCAGGTGTTGACCTGCTGGCTGCCGAGGAAGAGGTGCTTGCACAGGGCTTAGGGTTTAGGGTTTAGGGTTCAGGGTTCAGGGCTCAGGTTTAGGGTTCAGGGCTTACTGTAGGGTTTAGGGTTTAGGGATCCGGGAGAATAGGGTTTAGGGATTTAGGGGTTGCGGGGTGAGGGCCCGGGCTCATGGCATCTCAGTTTCTGAGGGTAGAGACTCAGGGCTGTGGGATGTCGGAGACTTGAGGGCTTGCGAGAACCCTCAAACTCTAAGCCCCCTACTGACAAGGTGGATACCGACAAGGTGGAGAGTTTAGGGAGCTTAGGGATTCAGGGAGTTCAGGGAGTTGGAGGGGTTCGGGGCTTTACCCAAGATGTTTTGCCGACTCAGACCTCACAAAGGCCGTTTCCTCACAAGCTTTTGCTTGGAGATGCATCGCTTTGCATTAATACACCCTTTGCTAGTAGCTGCTACACATGCCTCGATTTCCACGTGTTGGGCGGGGGGTGCGGGGGTGTGGTGGACGAACGTTGCGAGCGAGCAGGTATAGATTCGCACGGACGCATCCATGGAAAACCACGAATAAGCACAACTGTCAACCGTAGGGGATAAGCAAGTAACAACATCCAAGAGTGAATGGCAAACCCATGCAGTAGCCATTAACAGAATGATTGGCGAAAAGCCGAATGACGATTCTACCACAACACGATGCCACGGGGGGCTACAGCCTCAACGATCATGCATGCCCCCATCAGCCAGCCATGCTCAGGCCGAAGGTAAGGGATGAAAATATATCCTGCGCGGCAAAGTGCTGGGTTTTAGGGGTTTCTAGAGCTTTGGGGCCTAGAGAGCTTTAGGGACTGTCGGCTAGGCTGCTGGACGCTGAGGGCCGGTGTAGTCTGGGCCGGGAAGGGGCGGTTGAAAGATATCGGCTAATCGACCAACTTCGGCCCCTATATTTAAAAAAAGTGGCAACAATAGAGCCCTCCTTGTCATAAAGCTCGGACTTAAGGGGCTGTCATTGTGCGGGGCGCAACACAAGCTATAATAGACAGTTCGGTCACGTGACCAGTCCCCTTTTCCAGGTCCGTAAGGGAGCTAAAACGAGGGAGCTTGGTAGCAGACCCCCTCTGCCCCCTCTGTCTTTACTGTGGCCCCATCCCCCGTCAAACAGCTGAAATAAAGCATTATCTAAAGATTTTAAGCCCCTCAACACTAAACTCTAATCTCGCCTTCTCGCGACCCACCAGCCAAATATATAATGTATGCATATAATATTCAAAGCCTTCTTCGAGGAACTCCCCCAAAAGGTACCCCGGTACCCCTCTCTTTTTGGGACCTACCGTGCCTTGATGAGGCCCCCCCCCCCCCCCAACACTGCCAAACCAAATGAGCAAAGGAAGTGGGATCATGCCCTTAGTTGATATTCTGACCCTCCAAATATCAACCACCAGCCCGAAATAACCCTGCATCTGCTGCTGCTGCTGCTGCTGCTGCTGCTGCTGCTGCTGCTATAAGCCCCCTTCTTACGGCATTGAGTCCGAAGTAGACATCAAGCTGTGCAGAAATCAGCCGGTTCGGGGTGCAGAGTGACCGGGTAATCTAGGAATAAACCTTAAACCCTAAACCCCTAACCCCGAAACCCTAACCTACCCCCAAAGCAAACACTCAGCCGGAGAATTTGGGTGGCCAATTCTCCCAGAGTAACCTTATGGGAAGTTCTCTCCTAGCACAAGAGGGTCGCTTTTGGGTATGTAAGGGTGCCATCCGAAAGAGGACCCCAAGAACCGCAAAAACCCGAATAGGGTGCAGGGTAAATAGGATTTAGGCCAGAGCCCTTTGCTCCCTTGACTCGGCTCACCCACCCAGTGTAGGTTTTAGGGTTGCGGCTTTAGGGCTGCCAAGGGTTTAGGATGTAGGGCTAGGGTTTAGGGTTTGGGGTTTAGAGTTTGGGGTTTAGGGTTTTAGGGTTTGGGGTCTGGCCGGAGGAGCCCACAAGCCATCGGCAGCTCGGAGCATCCCGGGTCTTGGAACATGTTCCGACATTCACACCCTGCCTGTGCTGTGAGGCTTAGTGGAGCGTAGGGTTTCAGGTTGAGGGCGTATAAACGTAATGACCCTGAACCCTGAACCCGAAGCCCTGAGCCAGAAGCCTTAACCCCTAAGCCCTGAGCCCTAAGCCCGAGGCCTCCACCCTAACCCCCCAAAAAACAATAGCCCCAGAGCCGACATCGTCCCAAAAGGTCGTCCTACGGTGGCCAGGTGGTGCTTGAGGATAATGCCCGGGGACCTCGTCAGCACGGATTTGGGTGCTTCTGGGATGCCAACCCCTAAGCCCTAAAGCCCAAACCCTAAACCCTTAAACCCTAGACCGCCTGCAACTTGATATCCCTTCTAGCCTACGCCTGTCAAACCCTGAACCTTGGGTGCACCCCCAACGTTTGCCCCGCAACAACCTGGGCGCAATGTCTGGAAGCATGGCAGGGTGCATGAATTTCAGGTTCGGGCTGAAAGTGACTTTGCGTCGCGCAACGGAGAAGTTCCGTGTCAGTACATGCTGAAAACACTGGCAGGGGCGACAAACACGGTGGACCCTGTTTTCTGTTTTTCAGGAGGCGTCTGCGTTCAAGAAGGAAACCTGACTCCACAGATCCTGGGGTGAGACCGCGTCGCGGTAGAAAGTCTGACACGCCACAGCGGCAGCTATCTTGTCGAGCCCCGGTTCATGTTGCAAGAAGTGGGCGCACGGCCCGTCGACGTTGCAGCGACTGTGTTTCGAGCTGCTGCGTCCCAGCATGTTACATCTGCGCAGCATGCGCTTCAGAGCCGCTACTTGACTCTCGCAGCGTTGCTCGCCGCCTCTCTCGTCCTTCAGCCGACAAGGCGTGTTGTCCTCGCAAGGCATCCATCTTCCTGAATGTTCAGCAGGATTCAGCACAGGCTGGAAGACCGGCCAAGGTTGAGAGTTGCTGCAGCCAGAATCGTCATACTGGACATGAAAGATACGGTGGGCAGCCAAGTATGCGCGTTTAGAGCCCAAGGCGCAGAGCGCAGAGTTCAAGGTTCAGGGTCCACCCCCAACGTTTGCCCACACTTCTCTATCTGCAGGTACCCTTTCTTGATCGAGCTCTTCCACTTCGACTTGCAGAAATATTCTAAAGGTTCATCACAACATTGTTTAAGATTGTCCTGAGGGTTGATAAGGCTTTCTCAGGCGTTCACTTTCGTTTGAGTGCCTTGGTCTCGGGGTTTTGGGCCATGGCTTGTTCTCGCTCTCCAGCCACTGGGTGCGAAGACATTTTTTGTCCCCACTCACGACAGAAGAAATTCGACGCTGTCGATGCCTCGAAGGGCAGGGGGAATGCTGCAGTGGAGGTGGGCCTTTGTAGAGGAGGCTTCCTCGTCTTCGTCTGTGGATGACATCGAGGAGTACAACCCGTCCCTGCTCGATGTCAACAGTTCTAGTTCGTAGTCGGTGGTGCAGCCGGGCGTCCCGCCTTACATCCTTGAGCAGAATTTCCTGCCTGAATCCTGCTACTTCGCCGTGTCTGCAAAGCACACAGTGACTCCAAGGCAGCAAAGCCCTGTTGGGAGAGGCCCTGTTGGCGCTTCATGTGTGGCATTACCCATTTCTCAATCTCAAAAATGGTGACCATCTCAGGGGAATGCGAAGGCGAAGGCAGTGGCGCACTTTCATGGCAAACCCATAGCTGCATACTGATCGCCTCCAACTGTCAGCGTCCCTGCCCTCCCTTGAATTCCCCCTCCTCATGTGTTTTATTGAACCTGTGGACCAATCCCATCAAAAAGAATGTCAAATAGTAACCCATTCAGCCCTTGTTGGCTGCGGGTTCTCACGGAGGATGGTTTTACGACTTGCTGCCAGCCCGGCAGGTACGAGTGCGACGCAACACGTACTCCCTTGCAAAGATGAAGGCAATAACCAGAAAGTAATGTCAGGCCTCTGCTTTGTCCACCCGATTTGCCTGTTCTTTTCTGCCTCAAAAGCTACAACGACATCGACTGAACAATCTTCCCAGCACACTAACCTCCAACTCACTGACTCTGCTCCCCATTCCGACACCTGCCATAGGGATCTCTCGCTGGTTGCAGCAACTCTCAGCCTTGGCCGGTCTTCCAGCCTGCATGTGCTGCTTCCTGCTGAACCTTCAGGAAGATGGATGCTTTGCGAGGACAACACGCCTTGTCAGCATTTGCTGCTCGCTGAGTTCGTGGGCCAGAGCCGAAGGCACTCCAGCTTGAGCTTGACTTCGCTCAGCTCGTCATGGGCTTCGTTGCGGGCGCGTGCGTACTGAGCCTTCGGATGCTCCCGCAAAGAAGCTCGGCCAGTGTGCAGCCAGGTGCGCTGGTGAGTTCCTGATCGTGGACGAAACAACACAATGGGAAGCGCAACACGTGCAACCACGCTCCGGGCACTTGGGCCAAAATGGCTACGGAGGGCCTACTCTGGGTCCTAGATCTGCAAAAACAAATCTTACAGAGACCTTGTAAGCCCTAAACCCTTAAACCTCAGCCCTAAATACCCTAAATCCCTGAAGCCCTAAACCGCGACAGCCAAGAACAGCAAGGCTGTCTCTTGTCGAGGCATCTGAAGGGCTCAGGGATTGGTATGTGTTTTGTTTAGGGTTTAGGGTTTAGGGTTCAGGGTTCAGGGTTACGTAGCGTTCGAGTTCTTTTTTAGTGAAGGGGCTTAGGGGCTCTAAAACTGCTTGGGAGATAGGGGGTATCAAAACGCCCAGACCCTGACCCTAAGTTTGGGTCACAGGGTTTGAGACTTCAAGGCTTCACGGATTTCAGGTTTTCGGGCTTAAATGTTCAGGTTTAGGGATTTTCTGGGCTCTTCCTTGGGTCGCAAGTCCGGCTGCCCCTGGCCCCTATAACCCCTAAACCCGACATGCTGAGAAAAACTGGGCTCAAGTTTAGGCTTCAGGGGGCACTAAACCCTAAACCCTAAACCCTCTAAACCGTGGACCCAGGGCCATTGGCCTTTGCTGAGAGACTGAGGGTGGAGGCTGGGGGCCTCCTTCTTCGCTACTGCAACGCCTGCAAAGGCCCGCGCAAAGCCCTAAACCCTAAACCCTAAACCCTTAACCCTTAGACCCTAAACCCTTAACCCTTAGACCCTAGACCCTAAACCCTAAACCCTCAGCCAAAAGAGCGCAGCGCTTCTGATTCCTGAGACCCCCTGCTTCACACAGTGAGGGAGCACCAGGACCCAAATCATGTCCTGGCCAGACACAGGACTTCAGCGGGCCTACGGTTGAAGTCTGTTGGGTTAGGGTTTGGGGTTTAGGGTTTAGGGTTTTGGGCTTTAGGGTTTAGGGGGTTTAAGGCGTTTAAGGAGTTTAAGGGTCTAAGGGTTTAAGGGTTTCAGGCATTTAAGGTTTTAGGGTTTTCAGGTTTAGGGTTTAAACTTTTAGGGTTTTCAAGTTTTAGGGTTTCAGGGTTTCGGGTTCGGACGTAGGGTTTAGTAAGGGCAAGCTTGAAGGCGCGGGGCCTTGCCGAACGTTCGGCAGACCCCCCAAGAACATCGACGAAGGTCGGCCCATCCATGTGTGTGTAGATTAGAAGTCCAAAGAGCAAGTTGGGTGGCGTGATATCATGAGTGCACACCCATATGTATAACCCTAAACCCTAAACCCTAAACCCTAAACCCTAGGGCCCTGAGCCGCCTACAGTTGCGTGATTGGCATTAAGGTTTGACAAATTAGAGTTTTGGCGGGTCCGCCCT